CTGCAAAAGAAGTGATAATATGTTTGATTCATGTTTAAATACATTATTTTTCATATCTTTACATACAAGTAAAAAAAGAGGAGAGAGAGGGAGAGAGAGGGAGGGAGAGGAGGGAGAGGAGGGAGGGAGGGAGGGAGGGAGGGAGGGAGGGAGGGAGGGAGGGAGGGAGGGAGGGAGGAGAGAGAGAGAGAGAGAGAGAGAGAGAGAGAGAGAGAGAGAGAGAGAGAGAGAGAGAGAGAGAGAGAGAGAGAGAGAGAGAGAGAGAGAGAGAGAGAGGGAGGGGGAGGGAGGGAGGGGGGAGAGGGGGAGAGAGGGAGAAGGGAGGGAGGGAGGGAGGGAGGGAAGGAGGGAGAGGAGGGAGAGAGAGAGAGAGAGAGAGAGAGAGAGAGAGAGAGAGAGGGAGAGAGAGAGAGAGAGAGAGAGAGAGAGAGAGAGAGAGAGAGAGAGAGAGAGAGAGAGAGAGATAGAGAGAGAGAGAGAGAGAGAGAGAGAGAGAGAGAGAGAGAGAGAGAGAGAGAGAGAGAGAGAGAGAGAGAGAGAAGAGAGGAGAGAGAGAGAGAGAGAAGAGAGGGAGAGGGGAGGGAGTGGGGAGGGAGGGAGAGAGGGAGAGAGAGGAGAGAGAGAGAGAGAGAGAGAGAGAGAGAGAGAGAGAGAGGAGAGAGAGAGAGAGAGAGAGAGAGAGAGAGAGAGAGAGGGAGGGGGGAGGGAGGGAGGGAGGGAGGGAGGGAGGGAGGGAGGGAGAGAGAGAGAGAGAGAGAGGAGAGAGAGAGAGAGAGAGAGAGAGAGAGAGAGAGAGAGAGAGAGAGAGAGAGAGAGATGGGGAGGAGAAGGAGGGAGGAGAGGGAGAGGGAGAGGAGAGAGAGGAGGAGGAGGCTCCTCTTCTCCATCTTTCTCTTAATCAGACCCCCTTTTTCCTCATTTGCTCCCTTTCTTTCTTTCTCCACTTCTCTCACTTCCAACTATCTTTCCTCCCTCCTTCCCTTTTCTCTCCCTCTCTTTTCCTTTCCGTCTCCTCTCTTTCTCCCAGTCCCCCTTTTTACTTCCCTCTCTCTGTCCTCACCATTTCCCCCAATCCCCCACCTTTCTCCCCCCTCCACTTCTTCATTTACCCTTCTCCCCCACTCCACCCCCCCTCCTCCTCAGCCATTGATCCAGCAGTCTGCGCACTTACCCCCCCCCCCCGTTCCCTCCTCCCCTCAACACCGTCCTGTCAACTTTCATTCAAAATATTTCCTTCGACTTTCCGCTGTGTATCAATCTTAGTCACATATTGACCCGAATTTTACATGACGTGACTTATTTTTGCTTACATGTTAAAATCCTCTTTTTTACGTTTTTTATCGCTGTAGATGGATAAATTTAACAGTCCGATGGGAATGTGGATATTTCTAACAGGTTTTGGGTCAAGCGTGTTATTCATTTCCGAAGTTGGCAACACTGGCGCCTGTCCTCTTCCCTGTAGGTCATGGGAACCCCAAGACATTCTCAGATTTGGCAACACTGGTAGCCGCACTTGCAAGTTTGGTATCACTGGTTATGTACCTAGTGTTATTTCCCTTCCGTAAGGATAGCACATTTCGTGTGACGGAACACTGCTTCCTATCTAACTTGATATTACTATAAATAAATAATAAATATCTAAAAAAAAAAGGGTAAAACAAACACTATGTACGGGCGTGGCAGAGTTGTTTCTCATATGGTAACACTGTGATTTTCAGACTTAATAGCATCATCTGGCAAAACTGCAAACATGAAATTCTTTGTCATGACTAAGTTTTTGATACTCCTGAAGGGCAAACACAATTTCAATCAATACACACGTCCCAACATTCAAACCACTGGCCTACGATAATATATATATATATATATATATATATATATATATATATATATATATATATATATATATATCTACGAAACTGACTCACACTCTCCAAAATATAAGACGGATAACTCTGCCGTGCCAAAAAACAGAGCCTCAAGCAAATGCGACATGCAAAAAACGTGAATAAAAAAATAAAAAATAAAAAAAAAATAAAAAAAATAAATAGTGTAAGAAAAGATAAATAGCATTGTTGACCGTCACTTTGAAACTGACTGAATCAATTTCCTGTTGCAATGTGTCCGGGAAGTAAAAGTGGGAGAGGTGAAGGAAGGGAGAGAGTAAATGGGGAAGAAGGGAACGAGGGAGAGGGAGAGTAAATTGTGGAAGGGACGGAGGAAAGGGTGAGTAAATGTGGGAGGGGAGGAGGAATGGGAGGGAAGTAAATGTGGGAAGAGAGGGGGAATAAATGTGGGAAGGAGGAAGGGGGAGAGAGTAAATGTGGGAAGAGAGGGAGGGAGAGGGGAGAATAAATGTGGAAGGGAGAAGGGGGAGGGGAAAGTAAATGTGGTAAGAGAGGTGAGTAAATGTGGGAAGGGAGGAGGGGGGAGGAGAGTAAATGTGGGGAAGAGAGAGGAGGGGAGAGGCGAAGAATAAATGTGAGGGAAGGAGGAGGAAGGGGGAGGAAAGTAAATGTGTGTAAGAGAGGGTGAGTAAATGTGAAGGGAGGGAGGGAGGGAGGGAGGGCTAGGGAGAGTAAAATGTGGAAGAGAGGAGGGTAAATGTTGGAACCAGGGAGGGAAGGAGAGGGAGAATAATTCTAGGGAATCAGGGAGGGAGGACGAGGACGACTAAAAATGGGAGAGGGAGGGAGGGGGACAAAACGCGTAAAATATGGGAAGAAGGGAGGGAGGGAGACGGCAAGTAATTGTGAGAAGCAAGGGGGGAGGGAAAGGGAGAGTAAATGTGGGAAGAAGGAAGAAAAGGAGGAACGAACGACGTACAAGAAGGAGAACAGAGACAAAGAAAAAGACAAAGAAGGGGAAGGGAGAGTTGATGGAAACGATGGGAACGAGATAACGAAGAAAGAAGAGATGGAAGGAAAGAAGAGAAGGATTTTTAGTGTTTTTTTTATAGCAACCTCTCATCTTTCTTTCATTAGTCAGCTTCGCAGCAAATGGAAATATTTATCAAGGGATAATATTTCAAGAAAGTACTGATAATTAGACAACTATACTTCTCTCTCTCTCTCTCCCTCTCCCTTTCTTTTCTTTTTTTCATTTTCTCCTCTCTTTGTCTCTTCATCTTCTTCTCCTCCTCCTCCTCCTCCTCTTCTTCTTCTTCTTCTTCTTCTTCTTCTTCTTCTTCTTCTTCTCTCCTCCTCCTTCTTCTCCTCCTCCTTCTTCTCTCTTCTTCTCCTCCTCCTCCTCCTCATTCGTATTAATCGAGGCGAAGATACAAATTGACAGGTTGGTGATGGTCGACAGGATGATGGTAATAATTTGATATTAATGTATAAATAAATTAAGGCATGAAGGGAAAGATTAAAACGCTATCGCCATTATGCTATTCACGCTTTATCAGTGCCGGCTCTTGTGGACCACACGCCGATGCTTCATAAGGTTAACTTGCAAGGCCACGTGTCTGGTACAAACACACACACACACGGTATAAAAAAATATCGTCTGCATAGTTACAGTTTACAAGTTCTTCGTTCAAGGAATGCGTTTTATTCCCCCCCCCCCCCCTTCTCTCTCTCTCTCTCTCTCTCTCTCTCTCTCTCTCTCTCTCTCTCTCTCTCTCTCTCTCTCTCACACCACACACACACACACACACACGCACACACACTCACTCACACACACACAGCGCGCGCACGTTTCTTCATGCTACCCTTGCCCCCTACCCCCCGCATACATCGAGGGGATGACACGGCAAACCCTATGTGTCCTTGCGTCTGTTGCTGACGCTTGGAAGGGGGGGGGAGGTGGGAGAGGAAGAGAGCGGGGGGAGGGAGAGGAAGAGAGGAGGGAAGAGGCGGGGGGAGGGCGGGGGAGGGAGAGGAAGAGGGCGGGGGGAGGGAGAGGAAGAGGGAGGGGGAGGGGGTGTCGGGGAGTGAGAGAAAGGCGCCAGAGGGGAAGGGAGGAGGCAAAGGGTGAAGAAGGGGGTAGAGAGTGAGGAATGAGGGAGAGGGGAGGATAGGTGGTAGCGGAGAGAGGGAGGAGCTAGCCGGGAAAAGAGGGGAGTGAGGGGTATAAGAGGGGGGGGGGGGCGGCGGTCCACATCGCTGGACTGCAGATAACAACCTAAAGCACTTGAGAAGTAGTTTTGACAATGACTACAAAGTGCGGGGTCCATCTTCATTTAGTTCGAAGAGGACCTTGGGCGCCGTGCATGCAGTCGTGTCAATAACCTCCTGGTAAAATTACCCTAAGTTTCGGCAACACTCGGTCTCCTCCTCGGGCTCATACCTAACCTAGGGGAAGGCAAGATCAGTAGCAACTCGAGGAAGGGTCATGGCGTCTGATTAAATTTTTGGAAAAAAAAGCACATGAGGTGAATTTTGATGACGTCACAAAAAGGTACGGATGCTCTGTGAATATGGTCGATCATTTTGTTCTCTTCAGTTTTCAAAAAGGATGGAAAATAATGATTCTAATGGTTATATTTTCATTGAACAATCATCAAAACAGACGCCATGACACCTCCTCGAGTTGCTACTGATCTAGCCTTTCTCCTCATACGTAATCGGGTGGTACTACGTGGGTAGAACCGTCATTTTCAGCCAGTTGAAATTGTGCGAGGCCCGACCCAATGAATATTCACCTATACGGACATGCACATACGCAGAAATAAATGTATATCTATCCATCTGATGGCTATACATTTGTCTATTTATGTGTCCTATAGATATGCATTTATTTCTGTGTATATGCATGTCCGTAGAGTGAATATTCATTGCGTTGGGCCTCTCACAGTTTTAACAAACCGGCGTTTTGTCATCAGTTCAAATCCACAGATCTGTTGTTAAAGCTTAATATTTGGTCCTACAAGGAGGGAGAGTATACTGTAAAGGCTTGAAACAAATAAATCATTTTCTCCTATTACCATTGGGTTTCTCATACCAGCATCATTCCTCTTTAAATCTTTGCAATGAGTGTTATTATAGCGAACTAAATCG